TTTACCCTGGATAAATTTGGATTTAACGGGAAGTACTGGCTTGACAGTAGAGTTGATGAGTGGAATAAACTTCAAAGCAGCTTCACTATAGCGAGAACTTTGAGTTGTTTTGAATGGAAGTTTGATAGTTACACAAGTTGGGAGAACTGGACCTGCCTAACATGGGTAAACAAGCCTACTACAATATTCCACTGTTCTTATACTCTCAATAGTTTGATATAGCAACATCTGTCTCTCCTTACTATTGTATCGGTATCTTATTCACTCACATAGAAGTCAAAGTAAGATATAAGAAAATCAAGGCTAGCTTCAATTCCTTGAAACAAGATGTCTTTATTAGAATTAAGGGACCCTTCTCTTGAAGGTTCCAAAATCACAGAGGCAATGGAAGAAAAATAAAATGCAAATGTGCCTTACTCTGACAAATAAGACCACAGAATAATGGTTGACAAAACAAGGTAATGTTTCTAACACGTAAGATTTAAAAGCAGAGTTTAGATTTTTTCAAACTAACAACTATCAGGACGACTACACACGTTGGGAATCATACAGCGTATGGGAAATGGCTGGTAATCAAGACTGATCCAAGGAAGGGATGATAGGAGCACTGCAATGGATCAAAAAAATTTGAGTGGTAACCGATCAAAATGTAAAATTAAGTGAAATCTGTTTGAATACAAATACTATATCGCGACAACAGTGAAGATAAAACACACGATGCAAAACACCCTTTTATTGGGACAGAGTTTCGCTCTGTGTAGAGCTTAATCTCTACACAGCTCTACTGTAACAATACAGAGCGATGCACTGTCCAACCGAAAGCTTCTTCTGTAATGAGTGCGTCCTTTCTGGAGCATTAGTATCATTAAAGTGAAGCGTTCCAACCATGTGGGTCATCTAGTGCAAGGAGTGGCGGAGGTTCCAACCTTCCAACCTCTAATCAAAACGTAACTGGATTTCAAGAAAATGATCATTTTCGTTAGACAATGTCCTCGAACATTTCCACTTTCTCATCCTCGCAGCCAATGCAAGAACACAAATCTCATCTTTGTATCATCATTCTTCGATAATACCAAAATAACTATAAAAGTTACTTCATCAAGTCACTTAAAATCTACAGTTTAATATCAATGAAACATAGCCAATGATAACAAAGATAACGCTTTTCTTGCCGAATAAGGCAAACGAAAAATTTTGTATGCAATAATTTCGCAAAAATAATTCCAAAAGCACCTTAGAAAACTTACCTAACCTTATTACAATAAGCACAATTTAATTTAGCCTAATCCAACTAAATATATTTTAGATAAGTTTACAATAATTTGATAATAAATAAACACAATGTAATGTATTTTTTACGTTAGGTTCAGAATGATTCTTGCGAAATTATTGCTACAAAATATTCGCCTGCTATTTAAGCGAAAATCGCAAGTTTTACGTGTTCGCCACGACATGGTGGACCCCATTATATATATATATATATATATATATATATATATATATATATATATATATATATATATATATATATATATATATATATATATATATATATATATATATAGATAGAGGGATGGATAGATAAGTAGGTACTAGATTCAGATATGCCTGCAGCATCCTAGACACTACCTCTATACAGTACTTATGATTCACAATGTACTGTTCAAAATAAAACGCAAACTAACGGAGATGACCATTATACACCAGGAGGTTTACAATGACAAACGTATACACGCCACATATGGGGACTTTGGTGGGTTAAAACAGCCACCAACTGCGACCCAATCTTAGTCTTCATAGAAATTTCATCCTAACCCCTGTGATAGAGTATAGCTCTAGTCCCACAGTTTCCAACGAATCTGAAATTACCATAATGATCAGTTGTCACACTTCCGCAAAGGATTTTTTTCGATTGTGGGACCGGGCCGAGGGGGATGTTGACCCCCGGAACACCATCCAGGTACATTCCAGGTAAGCAAGAGCTAAAACCTGTCAATACCTGTTGGAATTTGAGATCTGTATAAAAAAATTTCACTGGGTCGCACTGGGTCACAGCAGGTAGACACACGCATCTATATTACTGAGAAGATTTATGCACCAATAGATTTATTTGGCTCACTATTACGAAATATTTGTTTTTTTTCTGATAATTTTTGAAGTTGCCATTATAAATATATTAGCTGAGATTAATGAAGAACACAGAAGCACAAATTACCATCTCAGATCGAACTGTAGCTCGGTTGGCAGAGCACTCAGCTCATACATTGAGGTCCATGGTTCGATCCCTGATACGGGTGGAAAGATATCTGTTGTCCCTGTTCACCTAGCAGTAAGTAGATACCTGGGTGTTAGCCGACTGGTGTGGGTCGCATCCAGGGGACAAAATTAACCTAAGTTGACCAAAATGCTCTGCATTACCAGGAACTTTCTATACAGTATGTCACTGATGTCAGCTAAGTCAGTGTAAGTTGTATCTTAAAAAAAAAAAAAAAACATACCACGGATGGGGTTTGAACCCGCGGTCAGAGAGTCTCAAAACTCCAGACCGTCGCGTTAGCCACTGGGCCAGCTAGCTTCAGTAAGATTCATCCAACTAGGTCTGGAGTTTTGAGACTCTCTGACCGTGGGTTCAAACCCCATCCGTGGTATGGTTTGTTTGCAATCGTGTCATTACGATTTCGTGAGTGGAGTTAAGTTGTATCTTGTACTTGTAGAAATAACGAGTATTACTGGTACGTCACCACAACCCTCACTCACATATCCAACTCACTCAGAAACATATGCAACATTTGGGTATTTTAACTGCATACGTAACGCTAACCAGAGACTATCAGTCCAATAAAGAGAGAATAGTTACTGGAGAAGGGGAAGACTGTATTTACACTGAACTGAAGATTCATTTGATTCCAGCAGCTAAGTAATTTGTCACGATGGATTTAATCTGTAGGACTCACTAACATGCTGTGTTTTCTAAACAGCATATTTCTTAGTTTGACCTCGTGTATATTCCAGTGTGACCTCTGATAAGCCCGTACATTGCAGTGTGATCTCTGATAATTACATATATCACTGAGTGACCTTCGGTAATAAAAAGTGTGATTTCTAGTGATTCCATGTAGCAGTGTGTCCTCTGGTAATTATATTGCAGTACGACCTCTGGTAATTATATTGCAGTGCGACCTCTGGTAATTATATTGCAGTACGACCTCTGGTAATTATATTGCAGTGCGACCTCTGGTAATTATATTGCAGTGCGACCTCTGGTAATTATATTGCAGTGCGACCTCTGGTAATTATATTGCAGTGCGACCTCTGGTAATTATATTGCAGTACGACCTCTGGTAATTATATTGCAGTGCGACCTCTGGTAATTATATTGCAGTGCGACCTCTGGTAATTATATTGCAGTGCGACCTCTGGTAATTATATTGCAGTGCGACCTCTGGTAATTATATTGCAGTGCGACCTCTGGTAATTATATTGCAGTGCGACCTCTGGTAATTATATTGCCGTGTGACCTCTGGTAATCATAAATATCGCTGAGCGACCTTTAATAATCACACACTGCAGTGTGACCTGTGGTAATCGCGTTTATCATTACGTTACCTCTGGCCAATAAAATGTCGTCAGATATAATCAACATCGTATTTTTTTTGTCCTGCTCTATGGAGATGCCGTCTCTTGGCTCGTCTGAGAGGATCCGATGCCGCAAGCTGAGTGTTCAATCCTGCTCGATCTTCTACTGTTTTTGCTTCTCTTCTTCCCCCACGGTCATAGCTGGCATGCAAGAGCATCGTTAATGCCTATAAAATTACGAGAATCATCTAAATTTCCCGATCGATCCGGTCGTGGCAGCCCAGAACACTAATATTAGCCTTCATCGTTTCACTGTTCAAAGTGTTGTGGTTTAATTCCGCGGAGATTATCCCAGGAAACACCGGAAGGCTATCAAGAGTTTTAGTAAGATTTCGTTTTTCGGTAGCACATTCCTCGTTGAAGCCAAGACTCGGTCAGTCGTAATCCGTAATCTCGTAGAGACTATTGAAAAGAATAAACATTCTGTATTGACTGTCGAACTGTAGGACGCAGCTGGGTGTCGCGGCAGAGCGACCATTCCCGGTGATTTACCGGGGAATCACGACTCAAGAACTACACTTTAAGGTTTTGTCGACTAGATTGGCGATGCGGGCTAGTGAAGATGTTGCTGGAATTCTTGCAGAGGGGAGAGCTGCAACAGCAACTCCCAAAGCTTGAGATGGTTGCATCGAAATGACGGTCTGCGGACCATAGCGACAAATGGTCGCTTCGTAGCAGAGCAAGTTTTAATTAGGACAATGATTCGCTCTCTGTGGAGCCTTAATGAGTCACATTTCGCTCGCTGTAGAGCTTTATCGAGTCACGTTTCACTCTGTATAGCTACATCAAGGCACGTTTCCCTCTCTGTAGACCTTCATTAAGTCATGTTTCGCTCGCTGTAGAGCTATATTATGTTCCATTCGTTGTAGAGCTATATCAAGCCATGTTTTCTTCTTTGTATCAAGGAATGTTTCCCTTTCTGTAAAGCTATATCAAGCCATGTTTCGCTTTGTGTAGAGCTATATCAAGCCAAGTTTCGCTCTGTGTAGAGCTATATCAAGCCATGTTTCGCTCTGTGTAAAGGTGTAGTAAGTCATGACTTGATAAGGTTCACTACAGAGAGAAACGTCGTTCTACAACGGGTCTTCGCAGGACAGAAGTAGATGGGATGAGGAACTTACGACAGCGTAATGTGTTTCTTTCAGGCATCACTGATATCGAATTCGCAGCCAGTCTTGCGTAAGACAATTTTTCCTTAACTTTTTCTCCCAGGGCCAACATTTGTTTTCTCGGAGAGTTCGGAGACTAATCTCGGGAGACTGTAGGCTTGGTTTCATTTCCTGAGATTTAAGGGGGGATGGCATTTGAGATTAGGAGCAACGAGAGTTCAGCTTTCCCTTTCCCGTCCCCCCCCCTATGCTCACCTTGTCTCATGCAGAAGAGGGGCCCTCAAGGAGGACGCTTCCAGGGAGGCTTGGGTCCCTAACCTCCATCAGTAGCGTCCACCGTCCTCGATAACTCCACCACCACTACTGCCCATAACGAGATTAATCCCAACTCTGAAGAATTTTCTGATCACTGGTACAAATTTGTCAATTGCGGAATGATATGTATTGCTGCTTACTTTTGATCAAGTAACGTATCATAATAGCATGACCAACGATTAAAAAATATATAGATTTCAGCATGAGTGACGGAAGTGAAACAGCCAGACACCAGGGCCAACAGATCCTCAGCCCTCTTTATCACTGCAGAACTTGACGCCAGAATCTCGCAATGGGGATAAAAATCCTTTAATACAAGTCAGCCACCGCCGTGCAAAACGATTTTCCATTCGTCAGACGACCTGGTTTCCAGTTTTCATCTGTAGTGATTAATCAAGTCACCTCAGATCATCAATTGCAGCTCGTCCGGATGCGGACTTCTTCCCTTGGTGACATCACCAGACGGCAAGAATGTTGTTTTCTTGCAAGAGCGGCCTCCCTCTGCCTTTTCGGGGAAGGGGGGAGAAAGCAAGAGAGTTGGGTGTTTGCGTGATGGACGTGGGAGGATATCGTATCAAGTTTCCTCCGTAATATCTATCATCGAAGTAATACGTCTCGCAGCCACTGCGCGCCGCCCACGGAGATTGTCTTCAATTAATCAGTGCGCGCTTTTGTTTTCCGTTGTAGTGGCGGCCACTTCTAGGGCGGGAAAAGTTGTGTGTAAGAGATTCACTTGGAGCTGCAAGGTAAAAGCTTGCTACTCCCTCCCTAGTTTTGATCACTAGTTCTCATGGCTATATGAGGAATAACAGCATCTTCTGTAAGAGCCACTCAGATCACAGTTAGTCCCCGTGTGGGTGTGTGGGGGCGGGCAGGTGGGAGGCGGAGGGCTGCGGGGAAGCTAGCTAGCTGGGTGCGCGACACGAGCACCCACACACAAACACACACACTCTCACACACACGTCCGCCTTCCCGCACCTCACGAGAGCTACTGACGCGCTCCAACGTAGAGAGGTCACATTTCTCAGCCTCACTGGCAGGCGAGGGAGATCTGCGTGACGCCTAAATGCCTCTTTTCCTCTACTACATCTTCTCACGCTCCCTCCACCTCCCCCCTCTTTATTTTTGCAACTCTTCTCTCCACTCGTCCATTTTCCCCTTGCCCTTTGAAGCCCTTTCTAGATAATGATGTCCTTGATGGATAGTTACGAGGCAGGCGGGAGGATCAGCAGGGGGAAAGGAGAGGAGGCCGGGATACACTAATCTCTCCCGACCGGAATGAGGATTGCATCGAGGGTCCCAGATACAAGGAACCCTCAAGCTGAGATGACCCTGGAACGATCATCCGCTTAATACTTCGCGGGCGGTGTGACTTTCTCTTTGATATTGTCTGTCTCTCTCTATATGTCTGATTTCCCTCTTTCTCGTTTGTCTTGCAAGAAAGGCTTGCAGCGATTTTCATTCCTCCAGTGAGAGGGACTTGACCAGTCAAATTCGTTGTGTCCACAAACACGGACACACACTAACTCGTTTTCAAGTAATTTTGATATTCATCTCTCACTTCACCATCCAGTCTGCCTTCTAATTTCTCTGCCTGACACTTTCTCTACCCATTCGCCACTTTCAAGCCCTTGTTGACACTCGCTCTATATCTATTTCGTTCTCTCTGATAACAGTTTGTCCACTCTGTCCGTCTGCCACAATTTTGTGCATTTTGTCGTTCTAAGAACAACAAAGTTTAAAAGGGGTAGGGTTTCCCTTTTTCCCCCAGAACAACCAAAATTCTTCGTGGCATGGACTCAACAAGGTCCGGGAAACGTTCCTTTGAATTCCTGGTGCATGTTGACATGATAACATCACACAACTGCTGCACATTCATGCTTCGATTATCCTAAAGTTTTAGGCCACATTCTGACTACCATCCACATGTCGCAGCAGAAATCCCGATTCGTCAGGCAGACAATGTTTCTCCAATCTTCAACTGCCCAATTTAGGCGAGTCTGTGCCCACTGTAGCCTCAGTTTCCTGTTCTAAGTTAACAGGAGTAGAACCTGGTGTGGTCTGTTGCAGTATCCCATCCACTTCAACGTTTCACGTGCTGTGCGTTCTGAGATGCTTTTCTGCATACAACTGTTGTAACTTATCGCTATTTAAGTTACTGCCACCTTCCTGTTATCTTGACTCAGTCTGGCCATTCTCCTCTGAACACCCATTATCAAGGCGTTATCGTTCACAGAACTGCCGCTCACTGGATATTTTGTTTTCCACACCATTATCTGTAAACTCAAGAGACTCGAGCGTAAAAAAAACCGATCAGTAGTTTCTGAGATACGCAAACCACCCGGTCAGGCACCAACAATCATTCTACGGTCAAAGTCACTTAGGTTACATTTCTTAACCATTCTGATGTTCGGCCTGAGCAACACCTAAACTATTTGTACTAGTGAATGTCGCCCCATCTGACTCCAGTAAATAACAGTCGATCTTCCTGCCTATACTTCAGATCCATCATGACAAAGGTAATGTCTGCATGCTATTAGGCATTGAGGTATTGCCAAGCGATTGACTAATTAGATATCTGCATTAACTAGCAGATGAACAAGTGTGCCTAAGTGTGTATGTAGTGGGTCACACAACAGTATAATATATATCATTCTCTTCAAAAAAATAGTCGTCGTAATTAGTTTTTACTCATGGGGAAGCGTAAAACCCGAAAGAGGCAAATAGCACCCATGGGCATACGCGAACGTGAATCCGAATTCTCTGGTGATACGATGTGAAGTGAAGCAAGTCCATTATCCACATGCCAAAAGCCAACTAATCATTCCATCCGAGGCTCGCTCCGTTTGTCTGTCTGTCTCTGTCTGTCTGTCTGTTTCTCTCTCTCTCTCTCTCTCTCTCTCTTTGTATATCTGTTTTCCCAGCGTCCCCGAGGGGAAGGTCTCGTCGGCAACGAACAAAAATTACTTAGATTAATGCAGAACCAATTAAAATTAGATTTGGAGCGCTGGTGGGAAGCAATCCGAGAAGTGGAATCGGTACTAGACTCCTTTAGGTAGAATGAGAATCCCTCTTAAAGAAGAATTTGTTTTTTGATTTCAAGAGTGAAAAGAGTTGGAATGCTTATAATATATATATTATATATATATATATATATATATATATATATATATATATATATATATATATATATATATATATATATATATATATAATACACACACACCGTTTCTAATCACCAAAATTCGTCAATTAGGCTGAACTTTTCTAAAAATTGAACTTTTTCAAAAATTTCTTTTATTAATATTTTTTTTTAATTTGAAAGAGTAAAAAAAATACATTGTTGTACCAAACCTTGAGACCGTCACTTTACTTTTCTGTAATGTATGTAATTTATTTCAGCCTAATTCTACTAAACATGTCAGATCAACATTGATTTAATAGTACTTAATTTTTTTTTTGTTACGGTCAGTCTGATTTTCGTAGATTTACGGAACAAAGAAATTAATAGCACTGGGGGAACTGGAACTTCACCCAGGGTTAGTAACTGGATGGTTGAGGTCCAAGAGATGATGACTTCTGCACTGGAACTGGAAATCTGGAAATGGTAAAACCTTCACAACTGTAAACTGGATAATAAGACGCCAGAAAGGCGTCTTATTATCATTAGCTGAAGTGAACATTAGATAAAGATAAATGCATTTACAATAGATATCCGAATCTGGTCGTCGTTACCGTAGAAAACTTGACTATTTGAAGCCGACTGCATGAGGCGCCCTCGTTATATGTCAAAAATAAAATCGAAAAGTAGGAAGACAAAAAAAAAAAAAACAGGCCTTTTAAGGTATCTTTATAAAGACATTCTTACTGGAAACTATTTCTATTTTTGTGTAACTCTAAACTCACTCGAATCTCTCAACATAAACTCTGGAGGTTCGATCCTCTGTCCGTTAATGGCTAGACTGACACTTATTCCCCTCACTAGTACCTAAACTCCAGCGCAGGGAAGCAGGGGTGCTTAACCTCTCAAAGATTGCAGAACAACAATGGATTGCCCAATATGTCCTTAAACCCCCTTCACCAGAATATCGAAATCATCAGTCTATTTAGATGCTAATATTTCTTTAATAGCTGTCAATATATCCCAATATTTAGTGCACATAACCCCCATTATTTAGTTCCCATACCCCCATTTAATTTTCACACCCCATTATTTAGTTCCCATGCCCAATTATTTAGTTCCCATGCCCAATTATTTAATTCCCATATCCCCATTATTTAGTTCCACACCCCATTATTTAGTTCCCATACCCTCATTATTTAGTTCTCAAACCCCATATTTAGTGCCCATACCCGCATTTAGTTCTCACACCTCATTATTTAGTTCCCATACCTCCAATATTTAGTCTCCATATCCCCAACAGGAATGGATACCCCTGATTGAAAACCCCTGCCGTAGACGCTGTAATTCAAGGCACCATTACTGAAGTCTCAAACTCTTCAGAGAGAGAGAAACATTTCGTCAGAGGAGACTAGTAACGGGAGAGAAAAGAGTTATCTTTCATCTGGATGGGTCGATGTTTTTGAGGCAGAGTTCGTTACTTTTTTTTACGTGCAAAAGTTAAAACAGAGACTCGACAAGGAATCCTGGGGTCGGAGGACCTGAAAATTTAGAATTGGATTTTTAAAAGCATAATTTTGACCCGAAACGCAAGGAGCTGGAGTCGGGGAACGAAAACAGTCTGGGTACCTCAGACATCAAGGTGAACAAAGAACATCACATAACAGTTTTGTTCATGGGGTACTTAATTAATATCAGAGCTAGGTACATAGTGGTTTTGATGTACTATGTACTGTGTCTTGTAAATGGTCTAAGTCGAACCGAAACGTCGTTTTAAGACTCTCTCTCCTATGTGCCGGTTATTTGTGTATTGTTCCAGTCACGGTATTGTGCCTTTTTGTTCTTTGTGCATTCGAAATGGCTTAATGTAAGCGTAAGTTCGTGCTAGTAAAGGTCCCCTTTTTTTTATTTAGCTCTCCTGCAGTGCTCCTTTTCTTGTCCTTACAATACCCTCCAGGTATTGTAAGGAGGGTATTGTAGGTATTGTAAGTATTGTAAGAGGGTATTGTAAGTAGTCCTTACAATACCCTCCAGGTATTGTAAGGAGGGTATTGTAAGTAGTCCTTACAATACCCTCCAGGTATTGTAAGGAGGGTATTGTAAGTAGTCCTTACAATACCCTCCAGGTATTGTAAGGAGGGTATTGTAAGTAGTCCTTACAATACCCTCCAGGTATTGTAAGGAGGGTATTGTAAGTAGTCCTTACAATACCCTCCAGGTATTGTAAGGAGGGTATTGTAAGTAGTCCTTACGATACCCTCCAGGTATTTTCAGGACTACTACTTCTACTACCACTCCTTTACTAATATTACAGCTTCTATCTTTTCTACAACTATTGCTACTGCTACTTTTGCCTCCCTTCACTACCCTTTCTATCTCGTGGCAAACAACTGCTTCTCCTACTTTCTGTTACTACTACCACTACTTTTCTTCCTCTCTCTGTCCCGTCCCTATCCTCGTCTATATATATACTGGCTCTCTCACTCTCTTCTGCCAGTGTGACCTGTAAATGGTCCAAGTTGGACCAAAATGTCGTCATAATTTTTTTTCTCTCTATCTGTGGGTTATTTGTGTGTTGCACTCCTTGTATCTTTTATTCCACTTTAATTATTGCTGAATATCAATTTTTTATCGCTGTTAAAATGAAGGAATGTGAAAGCCATTGGAGGAGGATGATCCACGGTACTCAAACGACTACAGAACCAGACTAATTATTCCACGGTCTGGAATTGCGAATTTTTAGACGAAAGTTTAATTCTTCAGGGGATGGAAGGATAAGCTGGAATTTGTTGGACCCAGAGAAAGGCTGTAATTGCTGACACGGAATCGTGGAGTTGAAATTAAAGAT